ATTACAATTGTTGTTATGATACTATACATGAAGTCCTCCACCCCCGGACATTTCCGCCATCCTTGGTTTGGGGGTGTGACAAAAATAGAAAATAAAAAAAAAGCCGTAGGTAATCCGTAGGTAAATACCTACAGATTACCTACGGATTACCTACAGTTTTTTTTTATTTTCTATTTTTCAAGGGTCTAATGTCATTTTTATCGTTTCATTTTTTCACAACATCATTATACTTTGATTTCTTTGTTTTCACCAACTTATACATAACATAAACGTATATACACAGGTATGGATCGTTAGAACCCACTACTCATTTACAACTTTATTATTCTTTTTTTTTTTATATAATATAAAGGAAAGTTATTTTCTATACACAGATACAAATAAATACACACATTTACATACAAACGATATGTACGCATTATGTTCAGTATATCACGTACTTGTTTAATGAGGTTAATTGTGGCTCAAGAACAAACATAAATAGCTTTTTGTATCATATATAGTAATAAGTTTTAATGATTCACATTCTTCTACATACGTTTATATGATGTATAACTTTGTGAAAACAAAGCAATCAAAGTATAATGATGTTGTGAAAAAAATGAAACGAAAAAAAACGACATTACACCTTCAAAAATAGAAAATAAAAAAAAAGCCGTAGGTAATCCGTAGGTAAATACCTACAGATTACCTACGGATAGCCTTTATCCGTAGGTAATCCGTAGGTATTTACCTACAGATTACCTACAATTTTTTTTTATTTTCTATTTTTCAAGGGTCTAATGTCATTTTTATCGTTTCATTTTTTCACAACATCATTATACTTTGATTTCTTTGTTTTCACCAACTTATACATAACATAACCGTATATACACAGGTATGGATCGTTAGAACCCACTACTCATTTACAACTTTATTATTCTTTTTTTTATATAATATAAAGGAAAGTTATTTTCTATACACAGATACAAATAAATACACACATTTACATACAAACGATATGTACGCATTATGTTCAGTATATCACGTACTTGTTTAATGAGGTTAATTGTGGCTCAAGAACAAACATAAATAGCTTTTTGTATCATATATAGTAATAAGTTTTAATGATTCACATTCTTTTACATACGTTTATATGATGTATAACTTTGTGAAAACAAAGCAATCAAAGTATAATGATGTTGTGAAAAAAATGAAACGAAAAAAAACGACATTACACCTTCAAAAATAGAAAATAAAAAAAAAGCCGTAGGTAATCCGTAGGTAAATACCTACAGATTACCTACGGATAGCCTTTATCCGTAGGTAATCCGTAGGTATTTACCTACAGATTACCTACAATTTTTTTTTTATTTTCTATTTTTCAAGGGTCTAATGTCATTTTTATCGTTTCATTTTTTTCACAACATCAACATCATTATACTTTGATTTCTTTGTTTTCACAAACTTATACATAACATAAACGTATATACACAGGTATGGATCGTTAGAACCCACTACTCATTTACAACTTTATTATTCTTTTTTTTTATATAATATAAAGGAAAGTTATTTTCTATACACAAATACAAATAAATACACACATTTACATACAAACGATATGTACGTATTATGTTCAGTATATCACGTATTTGTTTAATGAGGTTAATTGTGGCTCAAGAACAAACATAAATAGCTTTTTGTATCATATATAGTAATGAGTTTTAATGATTCACATTCTTCTACATACGTTTATATGATGTATAACTTTGTGAAAACAAAGCAATCAAAGTATAATGATGTTGTGAAAAAAATGAAACGAAAAAAACGACATTACACCTTCAAAAATAGAAAAAAAACCGTAGGTAATCCGTAGGTAAATAACTACAGATTACCTACGGATAGCCTTTATCCGTAGGTATTTACCTACGGATTACCTACATTTTTTTTTATTTTTCTATTTTTCAAGGGTCTAATGTTATTTTTATCGTTTCATTTTTTTCACAACATCATTATACTTTGATTTCTTTGTTTTCACCAACTTATACATAACATAAACGTATATACACAGGTATGGATCGTTAGAACCCACTACTCATTTACAACTTTATTATTCTTTTTTTTTATTTAATATAAATGAAAATTATTTTCTATACACAAATACAAATAAATACACACATTTACATACAAACGATATGTACGTATTATGTTCAGTATATCACATATTTGTTTAATGAGGTTAATTGTGGCTCAAGAACAAATATAAATAGCTTTTTGTATCATATATAGTAATGAGTTCTAATGATTCACATTTTTCTACATACGTTTATATGATGTATAACTTTGTGAAAACAAAGCAATCAAAGTATAATGATGTTGTGAAAAAAATGAAACGAAAAAAAACGACATTACACCTTCAAAAATAGAAAATAAAAAAAAGCCGTAGGTAATCCGTAGGTAAATAACTACAGATTACCTACGGATAGCCTTTATCCGTAGGTATTTACCTACGGATTACCTACAGTTTTTTTTTATTTTCTATTTTTCAAGGGTCTAATGTCATTTTTATCGTTTCATTTTTTTCACAACATCATTATACTTTGATTTCTTTGTTTTCACCAACTTATACATAACATAAACGTATATACACATGTATGGATCGTTAGAACCCACTACTCATTTTACAACTTTATTATTCTTTTTTTTATATAATATAAAAGAAAGTTATTTTCTATACACAAATACAAATAAATACACACATTTACATACAAACGATATGTACGTATTATGTTCAGTATATCACGTACTTGTTTAATGAGGTTAATTGTGGCTCAAGAACAAACATAAATAGCTTTTTGTATCATATAGAGTAATGAGTTTTAATGATTCACATTCTTCTACATACGTTTATATGATGTATAACTTTGTGAAAACAAAGCAATCAAAGTATAATGATGTTGTGAAAAAAATGAAACGAAAAAAACGACATTACACCTTCAAAAATAGAAAATAAAAAAAAAGCCGTAGGTAATCCGTAGGTAAATACCTACAGATTATCTACAGATAGCCTTTATCCGTAGGTATTTACCTACGGATTACCTATATTTTTATTTTTTATTTTTCAAGGGTGTAATGTCATACCGCCACTGTCCCTGCCTCCGGCTGTCACACACCACCACCGACCTCCTCATACCGCCACTGTCCACTGTTCCTGACCTCCGGTTGTTGCTGTTGCGGTCGCTGTCGCACACCACCACCGACCTCCTCATACCGCCACTGTCCCTGCCTCCGGCTGTCACTATCGCACACCACCACCGACTCTGCTGCATACCGCCACCGTCTCTGCCGCATACCGCCACCGTCACTGCCCCAACACCACCATCAACGACACCTGCGGGTATGTATTGTGATTTCAGTTTGCTCAAACTTTTGCAAAACTTCAATTTTTCAGCGTATTCTTAACTTGATTTAAGGAATGAATTATTGACTTTTAATTGGATTGTTTAATAGACAACATACAACAACATACAGTTACAGGGAAACACACAAACACACAAATTGGATTATTTAGAAGCTGATGTGTATTTCACTAGCCATAGAAGTATATTAACACAAAAAAATTTATAGACAAAAAAAGACCGAATTGCCCCTGTCCCAAATTGACTTGAATACAAGAGTTCATTATGTGGCCTTTCTTCCTGTGATTTCAATTGTGCTTTCCATACTTGTAACCTGTCGATTTCTGTGCTTTCCCTGCCTCGCTTGTTGCTTAGAATCATCCAGTAAAGTAGGAGGAGGAGTTCCATCAAACACCTGTTTGGTCTCCATGTTTCTGTTTGGATCAAACACCTGTTTGGTCTCCATGTTTCCATTGCTTAGAACCATTTTGAATGTATATTTTTTTTTTCCTAATTCACATTTCACAGTTTTATTTGACACAATAGTTTTCATAGTTTTATTTGACACCAACCTCCAAAAATGTAGATAAATTCAGCAACTGTCAAACCTTTGACAATTCTACCTCCAAAAATATATGATATTTTCATTATTATTTCAATTTATTGTTATTTTATTAGTTTTAAGAGTTTAAGTATTTGGGAAATATTGAAAATAAAAATGAATAAAGATTTCAGCTTTTAGTTATTTAATATTTATTTGTTAATTTAGGAAATATTGAAAATGAATAAAGATTTCAAAGTAAATTAGTTATTTTATACCATTTATTTGTTAACAAAATCTCAACCAAAACAACTATGGAGTGCATATGTTTACGGTACTAATTGTGAAAATTATTATTAATATTATTAGCTGATGAAAAAGTGGCATAGTTAATTTAAATTTATGTGTATGTTTTAATGTAATTATAAAAACAATCCATTTTTTTCATATTTTTTACATGATTGTTAATAAAAATATTTATATAATTCGATCCGTATATTTTCCAAACAGATACGAAAGAAATTTTTTAACTTAAAAATATTCTATGACATAAAATTGATTTGTCATATTTACTTAACCATATATTAAAATGTCATTATATGTATCTTCCTTTACCACTCATTAATTAGGAATTTATATCAGTATGTTAATTTTTTTATAACATTTTTCTTTATTAATTGTAAAACATATTTTTTTTCTTATAACATCTTTTATTTTTTTCTTAATTTGAATCAATTTTTATAAAGTTAATCGGATAAATATCTAAATTAATAACTGCTTCAAAAAAAGGCATTAATGATTATGATTTTGAACTATCAATATTCATTTAATTTGTCCCATTTGTGGTTATTTATTAGTTTTAAATTGTTAATTGGTTAGTTTTAAAAAGTTTCATTTGTTGCATCAACATATTTGAATAGTGTTTCATGTATTGCTATGCTTATTTGTTTAGGTTATACCACATATATGTTTATTTGTTTAGTGTAAAGTACATTGGTATGTTCATTTGTTTAGGGATTAATTAAGTAGAATGATACATTAAACGTTGTTTCTAGATAGAAACGACATCAAATAGAGAATGGATGTACACAAAGAGACTCACTAGGAATGGGGCTTTCAATACCGAATTTCGACATTATGTCAATCATTTCTTGGACTTTGCTTACGCGAAGGCAACAAACATCCAACATAGTATTGTGGAAGGGGTGGAGGTTTTTGAAATTAGATGCCCGTGTAAGAAATGCAAAAATCGTTATTACAAGACAAGAAATTTAGTTGAATTGCATCTATGCCAGAATGGATTCATGGAAGATTATATGTTTTGGTATGCACATGGCGAATTATATCCAACACAAGAAATTGGTGAATGTTCAAGCTCTGAAACGGGTCAAGACAATAATGAAGGTGTGGGTGATTATCATAGATACGAGCAGATGATTATCGAAAACATGCATCAACCTGAGGCTCCTTACTATCAACAGGCTCCTTATTGTCAACAAGCACAACAAAACCCAAATCAATCAGCCCAAACTTTCTATAAAATGTTGAACCAAGTTAGCGAGCCATTATGGATTTTGTGAATGAGACATCTAGGGTGACGATCGTAAGTTGTCTTTATCTTTTTATATATTTACTAATATTAGTTTTTACTTTTTAGTACAATAATAAAAACTTTCTTTTGGTATATTGTAGGAATCATATAACAAAGCCCTATCTCAAAAATATGGTGATGATCCGACTCAACATAATGTGAATGATCCTGAATTGTGGACCCAAACACAATTGCTTAGGAATGGCGGGAAACAAAAAGGTCCTATCTATGGGGCAGGATACTCGGATCTTCACTTTCTGATGACGGGTGCATATTCTTATGAGTCAACTTCAGCTTCTGCTGACTTTGCAAAGTCACAACAGGAGATACTATTATTTACATAATATATTATAGAGAAAAAAAATCAAGTAAAGAGGTACTTAATATGGCTGAAAAAATATGTTCATATTGGTAAGGTATATTGTTGTTACGGGTGAAAATTGAAATATGTTGTCATTATTAATATTAGGTAAAGTGCATTGTTATTATGGTTGAAAATGATACTATGTTGCTATTATTAAATTAGGTAAAACATAATGCTATAATGGGTGAAAATTATAGTATGTTGCTATTATTGATATTTGGTAAAGTAAATTGTTGTTATTGATAATAATTTAAGTACATTGATATTATGGATTGGAAATGTAAAGTACAATGGTATAATGGATAAAAATATAGTATGTTATTAAGCATATTAAAAGTTATTATTATGGATATTAAAAACAATGTACATTGTTATTATCAATAGTATGTTTTTATATTGAATTAAAAGTAAAGTACATTGCTATCATGGTTTAAAGTTGAATTACATTTACTAACTGCATATGTTTGTCTTGCTATATTTAGGTAAATGAGTTGCGACAACAAATGTCAAACATGGAACAAGCCATGGAAGAAAAGCAAAGTGAAATGAATTTGCAAATGCAACAAATGCGAAATGAAATGGAATTGCAAGTGCAACGACAATTGGCGGCCTTTATGAAACAAATCAATCCGTCCGGTAATCCACCAAGTAGTTCTTAGTTTTTGTTTTAGAACACTAAATTAATGTTATGTTATAGACTAGTTCTTAGTTTTTGTAATGGTATTGTAATGGTATTTTGAGTATTTGAATGTATGAATGGTATGTTAGTGACTATTTTAATGGTAATGAATGTAATGGTATTTGACTATTATTTTAATTATTTATTTGGTTTTTTTAGCAGAAAATTTGGATATTTTTTAAATTATAAATTTAATATAGCAATAGATTTTTGACTGAATTGTAGGAAATAAATATTCTGTAGGAATTATAAATTTAATATAGCAATAAAAACTGGTAAAAAATTCATAGAAAATTTGTAGGAAATAAATATTCAGTAGGTATTCTTTAGGAAATAAAAATCCAATAAAATCTGTAGGTATTCCGTAGGAAAAGATGTTGGTAGGTAATCTGTTGGCAAAGTAGGTGTGGTATGTATTCTGTAGGAAAATCAGTTGGTAGTTATTCCGTAGGAAAATGTATTGGTAGGTAATCTGTAGGTAAAGTAGTTGGTAGGTATTCTGTAGGAAAATCATTTCGTAGGTATTTCGTATGTATTTTATAGGAGTTTCGTAGCTAAATAACCCGTAGGTAATCTGTAGGTATTCCGTAGTTAACGTGTTCCGTAGGTATTCCGTAGTTAAATTTGTAACAGAATATTCCGTAGGAAATGCGTAGGAACGTTTGTAGCTAATTTGTAGGAAAAAATTACCCACGAGGGTTTTTCCTACAACCCGTTTTTTGTAGGAAATCTGTAGGTAACGCCTTGTTCCTATGGATTTACTACCAATTCTGCTGTAGGTAATTACTTAGTTTTCTAGTAGTGTGTAGAAAGTCTGAACCACCTTTATCAATAATGCTATACCAAGATTCAAGTTTGGACGTAGCCCCTCCCACTGTCACACAAAGATAAGAAAAAAGCGCTTTCAACACCGCACAACCAATCCAAGACACCACACCCTCTACTTCCAAGCCAAGAACTCCAACTCCCATTACACATGATCTTAAAGCATATTTCACCATCGCTTACCAACTTGTCCATATGTTATTATTTGAAGAACGTTGATCTCTACCAAGTATTCCATAAATCTTTTGACATCTTTGAATTGATTTGTAAATAACTAAAATTATTAGTTAAACAATATAATATATTTGTTGATGTGTCGCCGGTTCACTTTTGAAACAATCTTAACATTATACGTACTCGTCTGAATTATAATTCTAAAAGCTGATTGACTCAATTAAAAAAGCAATATCATTGCACCATTATAGATAATCTGAAAAGTTTATACACCTTGGATGGTAGTCAACATCTTATGCAACGTGGCCACCATCATGTTAACTTTTTTTTTTGAAGGGCAAGTTGACAAACATAAGAGACTAGAAAAGTCTCTCATGCAATGTGTCCACCATCATGTTAACTTTTTTTTTTTTTTTTTTTTTTTTTTTTTTTTTTTTTGAATGGCAAGCTGACAAACATAAGAGGATAGAAAGTACAAACAAAGATAGTGGAAAAAACAAAACCAACAGAAAACAAACATAAGACTAGAAAAGTCTAGATAGAATATATAGCATTCAAGGATGGGTCCCAGCACCATTCAACCCATCTCAAGGATTCCCCTTTTGGATTACTTGCATTGATCCATAAATATGACAAAGTTTGTACTTCATTTGTCATCACCGTTTAGAGAGGTGGGTGTGGGCAACGCCCACACGAGTTACAAGGCTAAAAAACAAAAAAACGCCGTTACCAAATGTGATGGTGGTAACGGGAAGTAACGCGAAAGCCTTTATCATGTAATAACGGGAGGGTGAGGCGGTGTTCATTGGCGTTATCACGTGTTATGAGACACAATAACGGGAATGGGCGTTGCCCACTCCGAGTAGTCTTATGATTTTGAGCTTGAGGAATGAACCTTGAGGTTTCGGAAATTCCATACTACCCAAAGTGGACCATTATGTTAACTTCATTTTTAGGTTAGATGCACGTCAACAATAATAATCACTTAAACCTATTTTAGTCCTTCAGCCGAGAGATTTTAACAGTAAAATGATTAACATAATTAAACCAAAAACTCAAGTTATAATTTTCCTCCAGTTTTAATTTTCCAATTTAGAACCTCTCTACCTATGAAACATTGTTGAATGTATGTCTTTGATTGCAACTTTGGAGTAATGAAATTCGTTTGTAAATCATAAAACCATCAATCGTTCTGCAAGTGACTGTGTACATCTTGAGTGCTAAATTCAAATGTAATAAAAGAGAATAGGATTAAACCTCAACCTGCATTGGTCGTGTTTCATGCTGCTTAGGCATCATCAAATCCTGCCTATTCTGATCATACACCGATTTTGATGTCAAGATTCGCAGACCAGAATCCTCACTGATCTCCAGAACCTCAGGCAGCCCGTCAATACACCCCTTAGACATGCCAACATCAATCCTTATGGCTTTGTTATTGCAAGCTGCGTTTATACCACCCTTTTGAATAGTATGACCCATGATCATCCTCCTTGCACCCGGAATGGTCGCAAGAGCATGTTCCAGCATACTACAATCGCAATCTTCAGCCACTTCGTTAGAAAATTTTCTTAGCCAAACAACTGAGCTTCCGGACTTAACTAAATCCGAAGATACAGTCTCTTTCAATCCAGTAATCCAATCCCTTACCTCTTCGTTAATCCGTTCCAATCCATAAGCAACATGGTGAGGTAAAATCCCTCCATGAACAAACACGGACTCCCCAACAACAAGCACAGTCATGTTTTTAGACAAAAACCTACTTGCTATAGGACCCTGAGGTCTCATTGCAGCAATCCTTGCTCTAAACCCGTTTACATATTCTTCTTTAACGCCAGGAAAACTTGTAGGTATCCCATCGTATATATCTTTAGGTTTCTCTAGTCCATCGCATAATCGCTTCATGTTGTTGCCTATAGTAAACCAATCAGCCCAATTCTGAAATTCATCAAGCCCAGATGGATGAGTACACCAAAAATCACCATAAACATTCATGATTTCGTGATTGCCATTCATGGTGATGACATTACCGCCGACCTTAGCAGCCTGTCGTTTAAGTTTCTCGAGGAAGTAAAGGATTTTGAGTTCTTGTCCACCACGATCGAGGACATCTCCGACTTGTACAAGAGTGGAGGAGCCACCAGACCACTGGTCTTGGGAGTCGATGAGACCAGCAAGACGGAGGGCTTGTTTGGATTTGTGAAGGTCGCCATGAAGATCACCTATGGCTATTAGACGATTAGGGGAAGGGTAGGAGGTTTGAAAAACCGGAGGAGATGGTGGGTCGGGTAGGAAGATCTCGCTGACCGAAAAGTCGACGAAAGTGTCGACAAATGATGAATAGAGATTGGGCAGGCTTTTGCAGGTGTTGTCTGCATCCATTGTCTCTTGTTATGAAGGTAGGAAGAAGAACCGGGTGAGTGGAGTTGTTTTTATATGTGTCAGGCATTTGTTTATCGATCTCCAATATTGACTATAAAGTCACGAACTTTCTGCCAAGGTGGCCGTTTAATAAGACACCTTTATATACCATATTATCATTTTTATAAAAAGTTCATTTATAATCAATTATTTATAATCAATTTTTTCAGTAATTTCAACCAATAAAAATATTTTAAAAATTAATTACAATGTATATATATCGTAAAATTGGATGTCTTTTTAACCAATCTCTACTATCAACATCACTAAATATCCATCTACTCCCATTGTAGGTCTTACCACCTAACAATGCTCCGGCCCTTGATAAAATATGAACGTTTAGCTGGTTGAAGTGAAAATCAGGAAACGACTATGTTATCTATGATGGATAAAATAAAACCCATTTTGTTTACAACATTTTGGCGGTTTAGCAATTTGGATTAGACCATCCGGTTTGCATAACACGGAGGTTTCCTTGGTCTAGGTGCAGGGTGAATCTACAATTTTAAAATCTTAGAGGCACTCTAAGTCAAAGAAACAATTTCAAAGAATATATATATATATATATATATATATATATATATATATATATATATATATATATATATATATATATATATACCCATGTAAAAATATAGGAAAAATACATATATCTATATAAAAAAATTTAAACCATCGGGGGCATCTGCCCTTTACTCCCTTCTTAAATCTACATTTTTTGGTGGTGTATGTAACAACAGACCACGACCATAAACACCATTCTGGTCTTTCGTTTTGGCTCGTGGTCGTTGTTCAATGTGGTGTAGACAACGGTGGACCACAACCTATGAAAACTCTTAGCTCTTTGACGCAATGGTTGACCATTGTAATGGTTAAATTTGTTTTTTCTCTTCTTTTTTTATTTAATTTTTACCTATATAAGTACCACTACAAACCATCTTTTTTTTTTCATACAATTATTCTCTCCTTTTATTCACATTCACACATTTGTATGTTTTAAAATTGAAAAACTCATGGCTCCCAAGATGATGAATTGGTCAGAAGGAGAAGAAGAAAAGTTAGCAGAAACATATATTTGGGTTTCGGGAGAAGAAGATGCTCAAATGTCTAGTTCTTTTTGGGGAAAAGTTCAAAGCATTTTTTATGGTTTAATGGGCTGTGCAAATCGAAATGTTGATGAAATATGTTCGAAATAATGTGATATGAAGGTAAAATGTTGCGAGTTCGATGTAATTTACAAATTTATTATAAACAATCTACATGAAGGCGATATCGATCCGGTTAATATGACCATGGAACAATAAGAAAACACAAAACAAAAACGTTTTCCACATCTTAAAGTTTGGCAAAAGTTGAAGAATTCCTCAAAATGGAATAACATTGTTTAAAAAATAGGATTAAGGGTAGTTGTTTGTGTTTGATTTTTTTTTTGTTTTCTTCTATTTTAATTTAAATTGTTGTTTTTTAAAAAAAATTAATGTAATGTCTCTTTTTTGTTGAACGAAAAACTAGTTTAAAAAAAATCTATGTTTTTATTGTATATTTTAATTAAATTGAATTAGAAAAAAATGATGTGGAGTGACATGTTAGTAAGAGGTACCCCAAGGATTTAGTGGTTGGATATGATGGTGAGATGACACCCACCACTATATTGGTTAATGGTAGTTATACCATATGACCTTATATAACTTGCAAAGGTGTAGAGGATATAAATTGCAGAGATGAACAAGGTGAGATATACCATTAGCTTCTTGATATTGGCTAAATATAAACACCATCATCTAACATGTACCAAATAAATATTTATTCAACATCGAGGTACCACTAGGGAAGGTAAAGAATCATACGAATAACATCATCTATATCAAAGTGATCATTTTGAGCTAAGTATTTGTTTAGCATATTTTTATTAAGTCTTTTACTTGTTATAAAAATTTCAAATGGCTTTATCCTGGTGGTATATGTATGTTCGGTTATAGAGATAAATACATTAAAAGGATTGTGAAACTAACTCCACGGGTAGTTATGAGCACTACGGATTGAATTAAGAAATGTTGGTTCTTTGAATAAAATCCTCCCCTTATCTTTATTTTAGCTTGTGTTTATCGACTGTGTGAACAATGTTGTGTAACAACCTATTTCCGCTTTATAGTATAAACGACCAGTCATATAAACAGAAGTCTTTAATAGAAGACTATTTAGGATAAATAGTCTTGACGAAATTCGTAGTAATTGAAAAACAGAGAGCATGCGTAGAGAGAACATTCGAATCTGACTTTATAAGAGGAAGTTATGATTTTCAGAAGTTTCAACACAACAGTGTACGACACAGAAACCGAAATAGAGAATGGTGGATTGTTAGGAAAAACAATCTAAACAAGAATTGAAGATCTCGTCCATATGATTCCGTCGATATAAAACACAGTCGAGAACAGAATTCATATGAGAGAGTTATGATTTTTATACAAGCTTTAACAGTCTAAGCGTGTTAAAAATATAAATTTAAAAAATAAAGTCAAAATTTGCCGACGGAGTCTAAACGGAAGTTGTAGATCTCGTCGATAGCTACGCGTATATATAAAGAATGTTGAAAATGGAGTTCGTGTGAAGAATATATGGAATTTACAAAATCCATGTGTTGCATGACACACATAAAGCGTGCGGCGCGCAACTTGTAGAAGGTGTTGTGTGAACCACACGGGTTTCGACACATGGCAGGCAGTGGATAGATCCATGTTACCCTAGTGCGTGGCACACACATATAATGCATGATGCATATCTTAATTATAAATAGATGCCTCTAGTTTTATTTGTTCTTCACCCCCTTTTTGTACATCCCGACTCCCAGTTATGAATTTCAAGAATTTTTATACATCATTTAAGACCTACTGGACGAGTTGGATGCCCCAACTCGTTGTGTAGAAACTGATCAGGCCGCTTGATTTTATGGAACCTACTTGACGAGTTGGAGGACCCCAACTCAAAGAGTTAAGGCTGTGCATGAAAACCCTAATTTTTAGGGTTTTCACCCTATTTAAAGGACCTTAAGTCCCCTCCCCGGCCTCCCTTATCACTTTACAGTCCAGAGAAACCCTAATAGAGCTAACCTTCTATTTTGAGAGTGTGTAAGGCTAAAGAGTGTGTGTTTGGTGAATTTCTTGAAGAAGCTTGAAGTGGTGAGTGCATAACTGAAGGAAGGGGCTGTAGATCCGGCTTTTGCATTGTAGTAGCAGCCATCTTGAGGTATAAAGCTGCTACATTGACCTTTCATTGCTTAGATCTCCTCTCATGAAAGAAAATGGTCCTTTTTGGTACATCTTGGAGTCATTCTCGGATTTGGGCTTGTCATGAGGACATGGCTTTAGATCTAAACCCCTTTAGGCCTCCTTAGGACTAAAGACTAAAGCTTTGTCAAGCTTTGGCCAACTTCCATGCCCTAAACCTCTCATTAAGCTTAGTTTTAGTGTTTTGATCCCTTTGAGGCTTTGCATGCACGTAAAGTTAGCAACTTTACATGGTATCTTAGTCCTAAGAGGCTATATCTGTGGTTTGGGGCCTTGAAGTCGACTAGAAAGGGCTGAACACATTAAGACAGGAAAACTCGATGAGTTGCTTAGCCAACTCGAAGAGTTGGATAGGTTTACCCGCCTTCTGGATACTGAGTGAACTCGACGAGTTGATTAGGGTTTTCCCGGTCTTCTGAACACTGAAGAACTCGACGAGTTACTCGGGTAACTCGACGAGTTGTCTCAAGTTTTCACGACCTTCTGAGATATGAAGGAACCCGATGAGTCAGTAGATGAACTCGACGAGTTGGGTCAAAATGGACTGTTGACTTTGACTTTGAACACGGTTGACCAAGTTTGACTTCTGAGGGTATTTTGGTAATTTAGGATTCTAATGGAATCAGTCATATGGTGGTTACAAGCAGTTGAGTTTAGAGTTGTGACTTGGGATTCGATTTATCAGTTCAGCACTACTTGTGAGGTGAGTTTTCCTCACTATACTAACAGGGTCGAAGGCACTAATGTCGACCCTTTTGGATTGTTATCTTGGTTATCGCATGATGATATGCTTAATGATCTGTTAGCTCTGTATCCTGGTATATAAGATGATGATATGTTTAGTGATATGTTAGATCTGCATCCTGGTATATAGGATGATGCTATGTTTAGTGACCTGTTAGGTCGGTATCCTGGTATATAGGATGATGTTATGATTAGAGATCTTTTAGATCGGTCTGACTATTTAAACATGCTAGCATTTGTTATCTTTGTGTTGATTGTACGTGTGGGGGTGGGTTGAGGCGTTCCTGCCTTGTGTTGAAGGCCAACATACCCAGGGCGGCCCAAATAGACTAAAGGCCCAATGGGGCGTACCAGTCAGGCCGAAGGCCCGAAGAACGGTCCAGACAGGCTGAAGGCCCGGTAGGGCGGACCAGACATGCTGAAGGTTCTGAGAGTGGGCCAGACAGACTGAAGGCTCGGTGAGGGCGGTCCAGTCACACTGTAGACTCTATATGCATGTTGTTTGTTATGATATTGTTCTGGTTTGTATGGCGTTGGTATTTTGGGGAACTCACTAAGCTTCGGGTTTAAAGTTTTGGATTTTGTTTCAGGTACTTCGGATGATCGTGGGAAGGCGAAGGCTTGATCATACACCTCCTCACATTTTATGATTTTGATTTATGGGATACTCAGATATGAAACTATGTTGAAAACATTTTGTAATAAGTAATGGTTTTTGGATGCTTGAAAAAGTTTTAAATTTTTAGGAATTTTATGGATGTTACAAGTTGGTATCAGAGCCTTGGTTTGAGTAAATTGGAGGAATACTCGTGTGAATTCAGTCTCAAACTAAGGAAAAGATTTTCAAAATGATTTTTAAATGGTTTTAAAATACTAAAGGAGGATGCGATGTGTACGATCAGCCGAAGCCAGTAAGTAGACCCAAAATACCAT